TTCATTCAACAGAATTCCTACATCCTCCTCCGACAGACTGCTTGGGATCATTGGCTAAACAAGAAATGAACATAACACTTATGGAGGTATTTTTCCATTAAAAAAAATTATAATAAAAATACGAATAAATGTTGCATGACTGTACCTGTAGGTCGACCCAAGTGGCTGAGTTGATAGTCTCCTCCACTGAGGCCTCCAACTGATCTATGATGGCTCTGCCAACACATGCAGATTTGAGAAAAAGCAGTTTGCTAGACTTAAACCGCTTCTTTATGTAGCTGACTGGATCAGGTATCCCCAAACGGGTCAGCGCCTCAAACTCTGCAGGAAAAAAAGACACAACTGGTCTGAGAAGGGCGTTACAGGACTGTTCTTGGATTAATATGAATTCAACTCCAGAACTAGCGTAGTGTCAGTTGCCACAAAAAGTCATTTTGACTCATCTCTCATTTAAATAAAAACAAAAAACAGCAAACTTCAAATGAAATGCCTTTAAGATTCACAGTTTGGCTTCTAAAACCTTTACAGCACTACCCCTATTTGCTTCCTAAATGACTAAATGTAAATCCAGTGCTGCGACTGCAATACACTGGGAGTCATCAGTTTTTCTGGGCCCCTAATTTCCAGAGAAGGGAGACTGAAACATTTTAAATGCATAAGCTATATATACACTATCATTTAAAATAAACACACCTAAATATCCATTCTGTTTGAGAAAGGACTCAACCCAAGAGCTCTGGGCTTTGGAGTAGATGTCAGGAATGTAGATGGCTTTATCCTGCCTGCCTCCAACCACGGAGCCCTTCAAGCGGCCACTGTTAACCAGTTCTTCAAGCACCGCTGATAGACAAGACAGAACAAACAAGCCGTCTGTATGCAGAATGCTCAAAGAAGAAACGGCTGTGTAAAAAGGCAAACTGCAATACTCACAGTACATCAGATTCTCCTGAAAACCATAGAGATTTAGCAAGTTGTTGATCTGTGTAGGCCTAGGGATGGAAATCTCAAAACTGTTATAAAACTACAGAGAAATTCATCTTTAAAGACAAAAGAGACTATAAGGAAAAGGTAAGACATAAAAATATTCCATTGACAAATACGAGAAATCAGAGATTCTTAGGAGATTTATAAAAATAAATCTAATGTGCATTGGTTCAACAATTACACGGTTAGTTAACTTAAAATTGACCATTATTTCAAAACCCATGAGATTTTTGAGCTCTGTTAACATATTTCATGTGTACTATGATTGAGTGTTGGTCGGTAGTATATGTGAATAAAAGCTTAAATTAAATCTGTTAATCATATTGATTACTTTTCATGATCACTTTATGAACATTTTGGATAGAAATCTCTCAGGCGTTATTAAAAATACATTTGTGTTTCAAAGATGAACAAAAGTCTTATGGGTTTGGAATGAGTCATTTTCATTTTTGGTTAAACTAACACTTTAATCAACAGGCTGATAACAGCACATTATTTTGATAACTTAGTAATAGTAAATTATTATTATTATATATTTTCCATTATCTATCCCATGATACAGACAGGGGGTGGAGTTACTTACCTTGTGATGGCACTGAACAGACCGCATATGCAAGCTTTGTGTCTGGAGAGGAACGCTTGTGTGAAGATCACTCCCCTGTTGTACTGATCAATCTGACCGTGGATCGCTCTGCCCAGCCTCGAGTTCAGCTCCTAGCAGAGTGTTAAACTTTCCGTTAAACTGTCCGAGAATGCAGTCAAAAGACCATTTTGTTACAACTGGAAAAGAAGTATGTGT